AATGTACAATAAATGTAACGAATCATAGAAAATATGCCTCAATGTTAGACAACCCTTTTTCCTGCATCAGGGAACTCTACAAAGACATAAACGTTTGTTTGGTAATGTCATTATTTAAAAACCTTTTTAAAGATCCCTTTTAACTTTTGGGACAAGTTGCATAACTTTACACTGGGATGTGCTACTACTTTTAGGAGAGTGATTCTGACTCCCTTGGTGGCTCAGCCAGTGTTTATTACTCTGCTTTTACTCTGGTACCCTAGAAATGTACAGAAATCCTTAACACAAAACTGGCTACAAATCTCCTGTTTCTGCTTCTACTGCTCCAGAAGTGCCTGACTGCTGCATCTCACACAGGGTAGTTTGGGATGTAGTGCGAGACACAACAGACAGTTCCTCCGAGTCAAATACCTGAAAAGAGATGGTTTGGCTTGCTCTGACACAGGAAGTGCTACTAGTCGGTCATCCAACTATCCAGGCTCTGCTGACCACTAAGGATTCAGGATTTGACAGTCTGGTGACTGTTCTCCAGCTGCAGTATGATAGGCAGTTGGACTAAAGCAATTAGTCCAAAGCACTGAGATTCAAAGCTTTTAAGATATATTTTTCATTTTCAGGCAGATGTGCCCTAAAGCTTATCTCTAACCTCTCATCTATTACAGATCATAGTAGTATAAACCCACTTGGATCTTTGAAGTGCAGTTTTCCACCAGCACCTTCATGCAGACCCTGAAGCAGATGAAGCCCACTAGCCCAGGATGCCTCAGTTTTAATGTATCAACAATAATTCTTAAAAGTTGTAGCAACAAAGCTCACTCAGATGCCCCTCAAGCATCAGATGTTAGCTGGGCAATGGTCCAACTCCTTCACATTCCAGACTCTCTGCCTTGTGGACACCAGTCAGGGATCAATAATGCACTCTTAAAGGAAGTGCTTACTTTAAACAGATATTTGTTGACTTGCAGCTTCAGTGCAATAAGCTGTTAGGATGTTTTGCACACCTGTCTCTCCTGTGTCTCTGTCACTCTACATCCCAGATGCTTCTCTCTCTTTCCTAGCCCCTCCCTTCCAGGTAATGGTATGGCAGGTGCACCCACCCAATGAAAACAGGGCTTCTTGGCTGCTGAAGTGTAGCAGCTCCTGATTGCCTGTTCTCAGGGCTTCACAGTAATTGGGGCCTTTGGCCAATGGGAGCCGCTATTGACTACAGGTCAAATTCGTCCTGGGTATAAATGGAGTCCCCTGGGGAGCCATTGGGAGCTCGTCCCCTGGAGCAGCAGCTGTGGTTGAGGACTCTCCCCTTGGGTCAGGACACTGCTCAGGGAAACTCCTTGAGGTGACTTGGGTCAGGACACCGCCCTGAGCAGGTTGCCAAGGTTGAGAGCCCTCACTTGTCAGGTGAGTGCTAGAGTGTTTTGGGTTGTTGTTAAACCCTAGGAAGTTGTTCTGTTCTCCTCTCAGACATTTGAACCTGTAATTTATGGAGAGCTAGTTAACTGTGTTAATAATTTTTAATTTTTGGTGGTTGGTTGTTTATTTGAGAGCCTCTGTAACAAATGGGTACGTGTTTTTCCCACTAGTACCACTTGGGTTGCTTTTAAGTAACTTGAGAGTACAAAACAGAACTACTTCCAAAAGGGGACTGAAGATGTACGCTTACCAGCTTCACCAATTCTTTCATTCTGCAATGCCTGACGCAGCATCGGGATCACTTCAGCATTCAGCTATTACTGGATGGAAAGGCAGGCAGAACCCCAATCTTGTCCAAAATGGGATACCTTTCCCATGCTTCTTCCCAGCCTTTCCTGCTATGGATACACCAGCTTAAAAAGAGATCATTTCCTCCTCTGGGAACAGCACACCCACTGAATTATAATCATACCAGGAAATTCTTGACCCAGGGTACCCACTATATCCAGAGGCTGTCTCAAACCTACTGCATTTCTCTAGACTTGACTTCTCATTCTGATTGCAAGAGCCAGAAAACACAAGGTCAGAGCAGGGGAGCACAAGTGCAAGGCTAGGTCATAGCTGAACACACAGCTCCTTGATGGGAACCATCATCATTTGGAATTCCTTTAGGAAGCAAAAAGCTGCCCTCAGCTACCCTTCGTACTGGCTTTAGGATTTAGGCTAGGGAGGGTAAAAGACTATACTGTAACATCATGAAGCACATTTAATAAAAAGGCTCTGAGACACTTTGACACAGCTGGAGATGCGTGCAAGCTGTGCAAGCTGCAGCACTGTTGCTCAATACTGCAGACAATCTGCGTAACTTGTTCTAGCTACGCTCTGCTAGCAGTGCTCTCCCTGGACCTACAGGGAGACATTACTAGCAATTAATCTCACAGAAGTCTAGTGCTAATTTTAACTCATGTTAGAGGTGAGCTTTGCCTTCTCACCCTACCAGCATTCCACATGGCTGCATTCTTACTAGACTTTATTTATTTTCATAGTAAACATAATTATGGGAAAAGCTTTCCTATGCCCTCTGCTGGTTTTCCAAGGCACCCATTCTCATCTTAGAGTTAAAACTCTTCCTTAAAAATACCAGGAGGTTTCCATACCACTCCTCCATTTTCATCTGACTAAATTGCAGAAGACACATCGACAGAATCGTAGGTGCATACTATACGAATTTTCTCCTTCAGCTTCCCTGGGACTTGCCAAATGACTACCAATTATGAACTAGATTGTTCAGGAAATTCAGGCAATCCCCATCTTTTCGAAAGCAGCAGGCTTCTTTGAGCAAGTCTGCAGAGAGAACAGGAGTTTCCTTTGGTTGACCTTTCATGTTGAGGAAAGCCACATGCTCCATGCACCTTCAGCCTGAACCTTATGGACCCAAAGTCATTTGTCATTAGATCAATTATTTCCTTGGCTTTCACTGCCAAGACTCCTTTAACACCTAGCTCTAAGACTTTAGCAACCATACTAGGTTATGCCCAAGACTCTTCCAAGATAATTGTCCTGTCCTTAATGTCTGTTTTGGATATTCTGTGAGTGTTTACCAAAAGCTCCAGACTGAATACCACTCTGATGCTCACTGCTGACTTACCCTGGTATTCAAAGACAGTCAGTGGGCTTCAAGTTAAGATTCTGGTTAAGAAATCTAGCCCTTCTATTTCTACATTTTTATGGCATTTCATTTTGCTCTGTGTGTATAGACTATCTAACTTGTCCCCAAGCATAAGACCCTTTGACAGTAATCTCTAACTTCAAAGAAAAAGATATGAGCAGTTGTCAAGGGCCAGATGCTGAGGCCTGACACAGTGCTAGAAAATCCATACCATAACTGCCAAGTTGGACCAGGTTATGAGCGTAATAAAGGATACGATGTCTTAAGATTCACATAGCTTGAGTCACATAGCTGAGACTAGGTTTCTTGCTTCTGCGAGTAAAGCCCCATAACCCAGAGCAAACCCTCTAGAATAAATTCAGATGTGAGCTAGATGCAGCTATGGATACACAATGGTAGTAACTCCGCCTTGCCAGCTTTAGTTTAGGATTTTGGATGTAAACACAGCCTTTCTTTAAAATCCTCTCTGCTTCAGTTTTCCATTCACTTAAATATATATCTTTTTTAATGTATTAGTCACTTGACTTAGTAAATGCTGCGTCAAATCTATAGCCTGCATTACTGATCAAGTTCTAACTTCTCAGTAAAAGCAGGAATGGCAAAAAACTTCAAGGCAGCAGAACTTACTAAAAAAAAGAAAAAAGAGCAAAACACCACAGAGAAATCCACAAAACAAAAATACATGGCATGCACCTTCACTGTGAAATGATCACTTTGCTTAGAGTCCCATAAATACACCATCTTACAGAAGCGCAGATATGCCAACAGTACTACTTCTGAACCTACTTAGTGAGACTTCAGTGGATTATTTAAAGAGGTCAAAATTCAGCGTTAACTGATGAAGTCTCCCCTTACCATTCCCAGTGATATTATGCACACACTCTTTACAGGTAAGGAAGAAAACTTATATTAAAATTGTGCCAGTGAAAGCCACTACTAGGGAATCCAGAGTAAACCTAAAAGGCAGAAATGCAACTTGGTTGGGCCCAGCTGCACTTGTCTTCACAAGGAATGAACAGGCAAACAAACAGCAACTTTCCCGTGGCATACACCCACAGCGTCCAGCACTCTGCAGCTCGGGGCTTCACGAGCTAGCCTACACCTCTGTGTGTAAGCGCCCACCTCCTTACATGAAGGTCAGAACAACTGGTAAGGTCATGGAAGCTTTTAACATCTACACCACCAAGACCAATGCTAGCGCTGCTGCCTCAGCTCTTTAACTGAGGGAAACAGTAGGTAGGTTTTTCTCTATACCTGCCTGTAAGAGTTCACCTGCTTAAGTGGGAGAGCATGCCTCCATTCTAGCCAAGCCACATCTCGGGTCACTTTCCTTCAGCAAGATCATACGAAACACCAGTACTCAATGGGAACAACAAAAGCTGTCATCAACAGTAACTTCAGAGTTATGAGGAAATTTTTAACAGATCATCAGAAATTGTTTTACATTCATCTAAATGTTACAGTAATTTTGAGCAGTTTTTACATAATGAAAATTCATTACATTCAACATAAAACAACTACACTGTAAATTATTAATCTATCCCTGAGCTGAGCTGGAGCATTAAGTACAGCCAATTTATGAGGAGAATATTAATCCCGGAGCTACATTATCCATCAGTGTATTTCTTCAAACCATTATCACTAAACCTTTCAAGAATCCCTACTCTCAAATTTTCAACTCAATAGTGCCAGCTAGAAGTCCAAAACACTCACCTAACTTATGTCTGGCAGCACAAGTAAAAACTTTCAAAGTCCTTTTAGGTTCTTAGATCTAGGATCTTCTCTTGGCCTCAACCATTTTGCAGAACTGGAAACTGAAGATATTCGGACAAATGACAATGTCAACTGCCCCACAGAAATGCACTGCACAGAGAGGGGCAGCAAGACTATGCATGCATATCCATGACTACTTTGCCACATATTCCATTTAAGATATTTTATTTTTTAAGTTAGGCCAACAATCATTTCACTTGAAGAGAAGCTCCCTACTATTTTTCTCATAGGCAGGGAGACACACCAGCATACACATCCCTGTTTGACAAGTACCAAATCAATTTTAATAACAAAATCCTTGACCCAGAAACCATTAAATTTCCCTTCCCAAAACCAGTTGCATGAAGTTATCTTGGGAACTCAGAATCTGACTTGGACCCGGAAATGCATCTGCTTTGTAGCATTGTTACTCATTCCTGTCTTGAGCATCCACTTTGACTTCATCCTCTGCAGGTACTGCATATCACGCTTCTGAGCAAAGACTGCCCCTTCAGAGAGAGAGGAGGAAGAGAAAGAGGGATAAAGGTCTGTAAACTTACTACTTACATGCAAATCAGCTAATCTGTCCATTTACATCAGCAGTTAGCTTTATGTTTTCCTTCCCATACTGGCACACATCTTTTTACTTTTTTCTTGGGGAAGGCCTGTTCCCTCTATGAATAACCGTGACTGTAGTTAAGGGAAAAGGTTGTTTTGCATTCCAGTGTGTGATTCTTTTTATTTCAAAAGAGGATATAGATTTCATCACAGCTCCCCAACTGGAAAAGTATTCTGTCAAAGAATGGTCTATGTTCCATTGTTAAATAGCAAGAGTAATGGTTTTGACAGGCAGTAACCAATGAATCTTAGGAAATCCCCAAATATCACAAGCACACATGCTAATAAACAGAAGCAGCAATGGATTTTAGACACAACTTCCTAGAACTTACTCTGCTTGGATGTCAGGAATGAAAGGGAACTGAGTGGAAAGCAAACTACTGCATAAACCCCGACAAATGTGAAAAACTCGACCTGAATTATAGAGTGATGACACCCTAGAATGTCCTCCTCCGCAAAAACCTCACATTGTCACTTACCTGTCTGACTTGTCCAGCCCAAAGCTCTGTACTGCTGCAACACCCGACCCACTGCTTTCTTATTTTTCGCAACAGTCACCGTTCTTGACAGACCAAACCGTTGCTTGTAGTATCTCATTAAAGAACGATGACCCACTCTTGCACCTGTTCAGAAGAGGGGATATCTTATCATGCACGATGCAATGGAGCAGTATTCAAGCATACTGTGAAAACTGTGGAAAATCCCTATGCTGAGAAATGCTTTTAAAAGGCCCGGAACTTTAAAAACTTTAGGACTATTAGGAAATTGATGTAGTTACTGTAAGGGCTGCTGTACTGTACTCTACCTTGAAGAAAAAAAAAAAACAAGAGTGCTGCTATTCAGGAGGGACTTCACTCATAATAAACAGGTAGTTATCAGAAAAGAAATTTTAATTAGGGAAATGAGCAGAGAGGCAAAGCTGTTTCAAGTAACCAGGGAAGTAATGCTGAACTACTTGGTAGTGAAAATAATTAATGGAAAGTGAAACTCCAAAGACACTTGGATGTAAAATTACTTTCTCCCTTGCCAAAGGAAAACACTTACAGCAATGACATATGCTGCAGGTAACGGCTGCAGCTATGAGAAATGGCAGAAAAAAACCAACGTTGTAACACAAATCATATGCCTACCTGAAGGAAGGATGAGCTCCATGGTGTCATCATCATAATCCAACTCTCTCTCCGCAGGGCGCTCTCCAGGCACCTCCACATCTTCTCCATCCTTGTGATCAGGGTAACTGCTCCTGTGGAAGAGTACATATGGAAGAGTATGTTATACATGGGCAGCAGTCACAGCTATCCAGACCCATTACACAAAAGAACTGCCATGCACAGCTACCATAAGCCACAAACATTGTCACATTTCACCTGACTTGGGAGTTCTTCCCTGCAGCACCCTGCCCTGAACAGAGGTTGAAGAAAATGACCACCTTTCCTCCACCCAGTTCTGTAACTCAGAAGAGTTCTGCTGCTGCACACTGAACAGTGACTTATGGTGAAAAGACACCACTGTGCAGCCCACCAGCTCTGCACAGCTACCGAATGAGCACTCCAAGAAGCTCCACTAAATCTACCTGTCACCATAACTGGAGGTGTTTCTGACCAAAATGAACCCAGCTTAGGATAAGGTACAGGAAATTCAAGAAGAGGGCTCTGAATCACAGCAGTCCCATTAAACTCCAGCTACTTAAAAAAAAAAAATAAAAATCCACAGTATGTATTAAGCCCACAGTTTGCCTGAAAGGTAATGGAAGAGAGAGTTATGCCCTTTTATGGGCTTTGCTGGTGCACTGAAATCTAAACTCAGTAACAGCAAACACACAAAACAATTCAAAACATATTTTCATGGTAGGACTGGTACTAGTGCTCACAGAAGAGTGCCAACCACGTTGTTACGTTTACCTAGAAAAGCAGTGGACCATCTACACAAAATAAGCAGCAGAAACAGGCTAGATTTCAAGAATGAATAATAGTTTCTGATGTAATATTCCGTTGTCCTTTTGTCTGTCCCCATCTGTGCTCTGCTCAAAGTGTCCTCACCTAAAATCATAGAAGTCTGCAAATTCCAGGGCGGCATCTCCATCTGTGAAGATTTTGCAGTGGCTTTTATCATTCATGTGAGCCTGTACTGCTTCTGTAGAGTAGAAGGACTTCCCTTTTTCATTGCACCAGATGCAGATTTTCCCAACACCAACTTTCTCTCCTGCAGAAAACATTGACATTTCTATTGGTCTGACCAGAGCCTCCCTGGTCAATAATGAACACTTCCGTGATGCAGCTGGCTCGGCTTGCAGGCAGAGAGACTGAAGAAGAGCCCTGAGCCCTTCACTGCCAGAAAAGGCCCTGCTGCTATTATGCCTTGACCATATGGCTCCATCAGGGACAAGTCTGGGCATTTAAAGATTTCTTATGACAAGGTACGGATCATTACATATTCTTAATGATAAATTTCATACTTCCCATAGTTTTCTATCTGACCCTCCAAAATTATTTTATTTTTGTCATTATTTATAGACTTCAAGAAAGATTTATTTTTTTTTCCCTCCCTAGCTTTTAGCTCTCTTACAAGTATTGTAAACTGATGAGGTAAATACTTGCTGACTCATTAGTAGAATAACACAGTTCATATGAACACTTTAGCAATAGAGTTTTGGCCTAAAATTCACATTAGCTGAACAACTTTTTCAGTATTAGAAAACTATGTGAGATCTACAGGGTACATGACCACAGGTTTGCTCAGTGGGGTGTTCTCTCACTCTCCCCGGAAAGCCTGTGATCCTGTTCATGATCAAAATACTGAACTGGAGAACACTCAGATTTTACACAGAAAAACCCCAAAATGTTGTAAGTCATATCTAAGTGAAAATAAGTGATAACAGCATATAATTAACCTGGTCAAAAAAAATAAAAAAAATAAAAAATCAGAGAACATTTATAGGCATACCCAGATACTTGATTAATCCTCTGAGATCCACAAGGTACTCTATGTCTGGAATGAAGAAACTGTGAGCTTTTGTCATATGGGCCACATTTTTTGTGAGTGATCTTGAATGGTGGGGACAGAACAAGCAGTCTGTGACTGGTATGGCCCCCATAACCGGAGTGCTTTCAGCTTCTGCCTCCTCCTCCTCTTCTCCTGCACTTTCCATTTCTTCTTCAGAGCCGATGTCTTCATCAGAATCCATGTCTTCCCAATCTTTTAAAGGAAGTTTAAAACCCCATTTATTTATATGATTACTTCTCTGAAGCAAAACAAGTTGCAGTTAGTTTGAAAAACTTATCATAGAAAACACTACATTGTCTATTCTCACATCTAAGTGCCACAGAGTCACTTCCAGGTGAAAGAAGGTACCATTGCCAGTGAAACACATGTCTTTGTAAAATGCCTTTGACAGGCTGAGAGAGTTGGGGTTGTTCAGCCTGAGGAAGAGAAGGCTCTGGGGAGACCTTATAGCGACCTTCCAGTACCTACAGGAAAGATGGGGAGGGACTCTTTTATCAGGGAGTGTAGTGACGGGACAAGAAGTAATGGTTTTAAACTGAAAGAGGGTAGATTTAAATTAGACAGTAGGAAGAAATTCTTCCCTGTGAGAGTGATGAGACACTGGAACAGGTTGCCCAGAGAAGCTGTGCCTGCCCCCTCCCTGGAAGTGTTCAAGGCCAGGTTGGACGGGGCTTTGAGCAACCTGATCCAGTGGAAGGTGTCCCTGCCATTGCAGGGGGGCTGGAACCAGGTGATCTTTAAGGTTCCTTCCAACCCAAACCATTCTATGATTCTATGCACAGCAAAGCTCGAATCTGCTCATAAGAAGAAAGCTGACATATCCAATATTTTTTTCTCCTCCATTTTCTCAACTACTAACATGTTACTGCTGTTTCAAAGCTTTAAATTTAATTCACCACAGCTCAAGAACACATGCAATGGCTCATTAAAAACAAAACAACTCTGTCAGAATCACTCATTTCCAGTGGTGACTCAGCAGTGAAGGAAAACACACTCCTGTTCACACATACATCTTTAACAACAGAGTAGAACAAAGCCAGCTGTCACAGACATACATTGTTGTATGTATCAAGATGTACCTACTCTTGCAGAGCTCATTAATGGATAGACAGACCAGCAATCCCATTATACTGCTGGAGGAGTCCAGAAATCTTTTTTAAAGTTCCGATCTGGGCAGGGGGCATTTATTTCTCAGTACTTTATTCCTATTGGTTTTCTTCTAACTGCCATGTGCAGAGACTGTTTGAGAACAGGGAACACTGTACTTCCCAATATTGTAGGCTGCTAATTAGAGATCTTTGCTGTAGGATATAGTTTAATAATTTTAAAAGCCTGACACTGAATTAACAGGACTTGTAGGAAACACTCCTGGAGAAGTACTTAAAAGGAAAATTAACATTCTGAAACCTACTGAGATTCTAGCATTACAATTTATGACTAACACATTAATACAAAACAGGTGCAAGCTGGCTCCTTCTTTAGACATTAAGATGTGAGTTCAGAGGTATACATTTCTTCTGCAGAACACATTCCCTAAACTGCAAATGAAATTTTACCAGCATAAAACTGCCATAACAGATGTATCAACACAATGGTTTCAGTCATGAAGTTGGCACAGTACAGTTCCACTTCATTCATACCTGTCCCCTTGCTGCAGTTTAATCACCCCGTTCAACTGCTCCAATAGATGCATTTGGAGCTGCACTGTCAACTACAGCACCGAAAGCATCCAGGTTAAAAATAACCCCTTTCCAGGAATTCTGAAGCCCTGATCTTTTTAACTGCCCACTTTCCAGGCTGACCTCCAACAAAGAGCTGTATCCACACAAGCTGTGAGGGTGAAGCAGCAGGAACAGGCAGTTGGGATGGCAACTCTTAAAACAATTCTAACATAGATGCCAATGTGCTGAGGAGCTATGCCACACAGTGTCAGGCTAAGGAGCAAGCTTTCTCCTCTGGTCTGGAAAACAAAACTAATCTCATTCCCATATCCCTTCAAAAGATCAGTAAAATGACTGACGACACTACAGCAAATTATCACAACTAGGTTTTTGTTCATCTATTTTTCAAAAGTAGTTTTACAGTAACCTTTTTGGTTAGTCTTCCTTAAAGGAAACTTCCCCTGGATTTATATGTGGAAAATTGTGCTCCTATTAGTAACTGTTTATATTCAACCTTAACAGGCCTTAGTATCTTACACAGCTGGCAGTTCAGATACTAACACAGAGGCCTTGACTGCAAGCACGGGCCAACCTTAACTCCTTTGTCAAGTTGAAAATTTAATCAACAGCAAGACCTTGTCTTCATACAGAAAATGCTGCACTACTACAGAAACAGGAGGCAGCTTTTACATAACATCGACAACTCCATAGCTTACCCCAAGCTCTCTTGCCAGTATGTTTACTGTCTTACCTTCTTCCATATCGTCCTCTTCCTCTGCTTGTTGTTTGGCAAGCTTCTTCGCCTGCTGTTCAAACCACTGTAGCCGTGGAGGCTTTTCTGATCGTTCTCTACCCTGTGATAAACTGGTGCTTCTCGTAGAAACCGGAGAGCTACCTGCATTACTAGGAGGTAAAGGTGTCTTCTTTGGAGATGAAGACGGCTGAGCTCTGATGGCTTGCTGAATAGCTGTGTTCATTTCATCTTTGTCTACGCTCTCTGGGGCCAGCCCCTTTTCCAGGTTCTTCTCATTTAATATTTTCACCTTCTTGCTGACAGCTTGAACAGCTTTCTTCTCCAACTCCAGGTGCTTCTTGGACTTCAAGTGATTCTCATAGGCATTGAAGGTGGAGAATCTCTTGCTGCAAACTGTGCAGTAAGTGGCAGTGATTTTGTTCTGCTCCTCTGCTACTGCTCTCTGGGCTAGGACTCTCTCCTGGAAGTTCTCAGCAGTGACAGGAGGCATGTCAGCAACCTTACGCTTCAGGTTGTACCTGTGCCAGTCAGTTTTGTAATGGGCACGCTGAATGTCAGCATCCTTAAAAGCCACACGGCAAGTGATACAAGTGTAGGTTGCCATTACTAGAAAGTGGGAGAAAAATAATAACCGTGCTAACAAAAGTAACAGCCACAAAAATCTCCGAACACAACATTGTGACAGCACCCATGTAAGGCAGCATAAAACATGCAGTTCTTGTAAGGAATTAAATTTATTAAACACCAGCATTAGCAAACAGCCCGTCCTGTACTAGAAGGTGCAAAGGATGACAAAATAAAATACTTTGATGTAGTTATCAGAGATTACTTGTACCACAGCAGCATCTGAGCATCCCATCTCTGGACCCAGCACCCACTGTGCCTGTCAGGGCTCAGACACAGAGCGAGAGGGTTTCCAGCTCGGGCAGCAGTGCTTCGAGAGCTCTGCACTTCTTACTGAAGATCAGAAACTAAAGGTTCTTATCAAGCTCATGTTCTGCCAACTGTAGGCTTTTGAGGAGACTAGCGATTGCTCCAAAATAAGGGTAAAAAGGGAAAGCCTGCTTTCATGCCTGTTTTCTGTTTTCCATAGCTTTATCAAATGGAGGAAAAAAAGTTACCACAATTTAAAAAAACCCCAACCCTCTCAGCTCTTTTCAAGCAACGCATGTACTGTCAACACCACTTTACCCTGCAGAACTGTTCATCTGAAGATGCAGCCAGTCATGCCTAGATCCAGTGCTTTAAGCCACTGCTACCCCTGGTCTTCCTCCACTTCCAACCATCCAGCTGAGCTGCATTACTGGAGCTGTCACAGGACAACTGGATGGCTGAGACCTGCTGTCCTTTCCAAAGCCATGCATTTCCTTCCTTTTCAGCGCTTAACGAAACAATTTTTTTAATACAAAGTTGATGGAACTTCTTGAATACTCCAAAAGCAAAGAGCAAAAAAGCATGTTCTAACTGGACATTGCTAAAGCCACTTTTATCTTTTAACCAATTTAGAAAAACTATAGTTTAATCTGGAAAAAAAAAAAAAGAGTGATACAGGAGGAGGGCGTTTGAAAACAAGTAGAGAAACAGCAGTCCCTCCCAGAAGCTACCAACAGGGAGAGACAGCGGTGAAAGACACAAATATACAGAGAGTGGAAAGGTACTTTATGAAACACTTCCTGGAGGAACTGGGCTTCTAATTTACTGTTTGTGCTATCTGTAATCCTACAGTGACAGAAAATACACTAATAGAAAATAAAGGCCATACTGTTTTATTTGAAATACTGTAAGCATCCATTCAGCATAACAGATGCTTTCTCTTTTGGAGGAAAATACATCCTCTGCCCGTCCAGGGATCCCAATTGCTCTCTGAAGCATTTTTCTCCCACCTGAAGAGCTCCCCACCCCTTTCCTAGCCCAAGAAGTTATTTTACTGCCATAAACTAACTGACACCGAATCACATTTGCTGTTAATCACAAACTTCCTGCAGAAACTTCATGAACAGAACAGTTTGATCCAGCCTATTACAGGTAGATATCAACCATACACTAGATTATCCTGGGGGGGATTAAACAAACCCCCCAAAACCAGATCAGAAAAAGGTATGTAACTGAGAGCATCTAAACCCATAACCCTTCATACCTGAGGATACGAAGGTTATATCTGAGAATATACTAAGTGGAGAAATAGCGTTTACAAATCGAGCCGCATTGAGCTGAAAAAGGATCTGCAGACTCCATGTCGCCAGGCCAGCACTGCCCATTACCCACGCGCCCTTTCACCGACCATTTTAACTCACAAAACCAAAGCACTGACCCTTCCCCTGCGTGAGGCTCAGGAAAACAAAACGTGAGGCACTCACAAGCCTTCAGCTCTAGGCACAGCCAAGCCCTTCGACCACAGGGCCTTTATTACTGCCGATTTTAGTTACTTTTATTTGAATTTAAATTGAGCCGGCGTCCTGACACGAGACAGAAAGGCCCGACTGACAGGCAGGTGTGTACTACACGGACACCAGAACTGACATCACAACTTAAATCCGGGGGAAAAAAAAACAAACAAACAAACAACAAGAAAAGAACCAAAATAATGCACAGGCTGGGGTGCAGGAGGAAGCCGCGATCCTCCAGGCCGCCGCCAGCCGTGACTCAGACCGGCCTCACCGGGAGCCTCCGCCCTCAGCGAGAGCGACCGACACCCCCAGGCCGCGGGGCC